GGAGTAGAACCATCAGAATATGAATTTATATGACTTTCAGGACTGATTGTTGGTGAACACAGAAGGAAGAGTATTATACGCAGTGTTTCTCAACCTTTCTCAGCTCTGCTGGCTGGAGAATTCTGGGAGTTGAAGTCCACAAGTCTTAAAGTTGCCAAGTTTGGGAACCACTGATATACGGTATAGTAAATAAGAGTTGTGTGGTTGTTTACTGGGAATTCTGTGGAGGTTCACCGACAAATGCGCGATAGACATATGCGCGCCGACAAAACCGTGACGGACAAATGAGCACCATCAAAATCGCTAATTGGTTTTCGACAATAGCGCGCCGACAAAATCGCGTCATCAACAAACTATAGAAAGCCCAGTGAGTGTGCTGGGCCTTTAACATAGTGGGACGCGTATACGTACGTTATAACCCTAACCCTAACCCTAAAATTTTTTTGATGTTATTGTGCTTGTCATCGCGCTTTTGTCGGCGCGATTTTGACGTCGCGAATTTGTGGGCGCGATTTTGACGTAGCGTTTTAATCGGCGCTATTTTGTCGGCGCGCATATGTCTATCGCGCAATTGTCGGGTCACGTTCTGTGGAAGGATTGTTTATGACCGTCCAAAGGCCACTACGGTTATTTATCTAAGCCGCAGCTCAAATGATCCTTTCATTATAGGTCAATTGCCCCAAACTAGGAAAAGATGAAGAGAAAAGTTTGCCTATTTCACTAAGAGAATACAAGCCTGCTAATAATTACTAGAATGCCATCAGAACAATACAAATGAAGATAGAATATCTGACCTATTTATGGGAAGAGAGACGCATATTACCTTTGAGTCCTGGAACCAGAATCTGAACAGAGCAGGATTCCTCTGCAATATGCTGAGCATATCCAGATCTTGGCAGAGACAGGAATGCAAGGCTAATTACGGAGACAAAGAAAACCAGATCACTCTTCATAATGAGCTTGTCCCTTACTCCTAAAGGGAGGAAAAATGAATACACCATTAACAGGGATTCTAAATACGTCAGACAGTCCTAATATGTTCACTATCTTCTAAGGGCACAATAATCTTTACAGCATATTAAAAGATATGTTTAATGTATGATAGCTTGCTAAGTTGCAAAATCTGTTGCTATTTTTTAGTAATATGTTTTATTGGGAAGGGACAATCAGATTTCAGCAGAGCGAGATTCTTTGCAACACACATATATTTTCCCCTGGATCTCATAATCCACATTTGAAACAACAGAAAAGAGTTGGGCTTGCTATACCATATGTAGGAAGCTATCACCCAGCCCTCTCCCAGAAAAATGAAATGTCCTAGGAAATATTGAAAAGGCAGAATATTTCCCTGGATGTGAAAAAGGAAGAAACATGTTTTAAAGGCAGAGTAGCTCCCTGCTGCTTCCTGCCCATCTTCCTTTGTCAATAAACCATCAAGATGCCCAAGCCAGTCCCTTTACATAATAAAGAGTTCTCCCCTTCAGCTCAGCTCCCCTTCAGGCATGGTTAGCCTTCACCCACTCACCACATGGCATCCGAGAACTCAACCAAACCTGGATTCAAAACACAGCCTAAAGAGGTGCCCCTGCATGGCCCCATGAGAGTCTGACAACCAATCAAAATACAAGTTCAAGATCAAAGGCCAGGGAGGGCATAAAACCAGGGACTTTCAGCATCTCAGCCATTCCTTCTGTTCTTCTCCATCCAACATTGAAGCATGTGATCCCCTTTTCTGTTCAGGACTCAAGCCATGTGGTCCTGTACACCATTAAAACCATCTTTCCAAGCAGCCTCCATGTCTCCAGTGTCTTTTCCCCCACTTGGAGCCGAACCCAGAAGGACATTTCTTTCGATACATACTTGTTCAAAATCACCAGAAAAAAAGGAATGGTCCTTCATACCATACTCACAACCGCCTCCCCCTAATTTAGTGCATTTTGAGATTGATCTACATTAAGGTTCCCTGGGGAAGTCATGAACACATTTCCACTCTGCTGGGGAAAAAAGCAATTGAAGGGAAAACAAAAATCTTTGTGAATGATATGATGGGGAAATGTATAAAATTGCTTTTTCCTGCAATTTCTTGTTTTCGAATGAAGCAAAAGCACCTGTGTCTAGAATTGTGCAAGAAAAAATGGCAACGCATACGGTATCTCAGTTTTCAGTTATTTCTCCCAATCTTGATCAGTTCACATAGCATTCCACAAAGATAGGAACATTGTACACATTGGGGGGGGGGGGGGGAAGGCAAGAACTCTTTCTGTCCTCTGTTCTCAGATTGTATAACACACTTGTCATTTTGTGATATTACTGAACTATCTTCTAGGAACAGGGCATCAAGAGATTTGCTTGGGATTTTCAAGGATGGCATATAAAACTTGTAGGCAATACAATTTCTTCGCAGTAAAACTCTAAATGATGTAATACCTACATTCTGGCACTGCTAAACTAGTATCAAAGCTAAAATTTCCTCTTATTACTGGTCTTAATTTCTGCTCAAATATTTCATGTATGGGTAAGGGTATCCATAACAGTATAAATATAAATATATGACATGATATAAGTATATCATCCGAATAATAACTTGATTTGCACAATATGCTTAGGTGCCACATTTTAGTCTAGCTATCGGTAGTACATTAGCTGAACCTTGCAATGAATGTATCATTGAGTGCATATCAATTGATTTATGATTGTCTTCCTTGCAAATCAAGAAAACAATGTTAAATAAGGACCAGCATGGGTTCAGCTGTTGTGAATCACATACTATATGGGTTCAGCAAGCTCACTTTCATGATGCAAGAACCCAACAGCCTTTGATATTAAAAACAAAATAAACCAACATGACAAGATAAGAAGCGACTCTTCTTTTTTTATATTTTTTTAAAAAATTAGCTACTGCTTAATCTCTTCATTCTTTTTCCTCAGGTTAGTGAATTTTATCAACTGAAATAGACTTTCAGAGAAGCCCTTTCCTGACATCAGCCTTTCATATATATTGAATCAGCCACCATACCCTATGCAACATATCAGGGGGGTTGTGGAAATACATAGTTGTGCCTATCAAAACTGACCTGTTCAGCAACTCTCCAGCACAAACAGATGTTTGTAGAGATACTTCCAGATAATCAAGAAATCAGAATCTACTTGTGTTTTGGACAGTGCCTTGAGATGTTTAATGTAATTTTGCTTTAATAAATTTAGGTATTTAAGAATAAATTTAATAAATAAAATATGTAGGAGGATGGAAGAAAGAGGTCATGGGAAGAAACAAAGAATTCTATTTTCTCTGTAACTCCTCCCCATATTATTTGTTCTTTTGTAGACTGAAAAAAGTTCTGGAGGTGGGAAATATATAATTCATTGTGCAAATTTGTTCGCCTTAGAGGGAAAACAGGCAATTTTCAATGCCTACAGAAACAGTTGCAATATTTTAAATTCATCCTTTTCTGCGACCGTCTCTTTTCTTATTCTTTTCTTCCTCTCCATAACATTTCCCTACTTTGCCTGCCCATCTATTTGCATTTTTCATTATTTTCAAAGTTCTTCCACCTTCTATTTTTGTTTTTTTAGATGTAGCCTTCCTGTTTTGTCCCTTTTCCTGAAATAGATTTATTTAGAAATAGCACTTAATTTTTAGCTAACTGTACCAAAACATTGGTCCACATTTTTTTTCCAAAGCAGGGGAATCTGTTCCAAAAATTGGTTAGCAATAGTAATATAGTACAATAAGCTTGCTTGTGAGAACACACAGATATCTCACACTCAATCCTGAGTGATCACAAAGGACAGTCAGAAACTTGAGGTCAGGGTTCAAAGTTAGAGACTTTAAATTATAGCCTAATTGGAAGTGATAATTTTATGGTTTGTCTACTTGAAGAGGGCTGGTTTAGGGAAGAATGCTCCAGACCTCTAGCAGCTGCTGGAGAGGAAAAATTAAATTTGGACCACTATATTCCATATTCTTCAACCAACACTTCACAGTCCATATTCTATACGCCTTAACAATGCGGAGGTACATTAAGGGGAAGAACCAGAGCTGAACTTTTCAATTCCAAATATTGTACAAGTTGTGAAGATTATGCTTTGCGCTTTTGTAGCATCTTATCTATCTCTGAAATAGTTCCTCAAAACAAAAACCCAACCTTCCTGCTTTCCTTATTCTTTCTGCTACGCACGTCTGTACCAAGAAAACAACTCATTTATAATAGCACGGCGTAAGATAAAAAATACACTCCTGTGCAATCCTGAACACTATATAAATTAATTTCGGATGTTTAACAACTTTTTAAATGTAAAGACATGAGCCGGTCTGTAGGTCTGTGACATTAGATGACCTACATTGCAACAGTTCCAGGCTGACCTCAACTCAGCCCTGATCTGAAAGTCAGTCGTCTCCTCTTTATCCAGCTTCCATCAAAAAACGCTCCACAGCCTGCTCTCTTTTAAACCAGGGTTTTGGCTGGCACAACCATCCTAGCATCTCACCTACCTTAGATCTGCTGAGAGAAGAGGCGCTCCGGCTGAGCTGCTGACTGAACGGGCACTGCTCCACAGATGGACCTCATTGCTACTATTTACAAAAGCCCGATAGGCTTTAATTTGAAGTGGGCTCCACTCCTGCTCTTCGACCATTCAGCAAATCAGGCCCATCGTTTGCAAGCGTTATCTGTAAACAGCTTCCTGTTTGAAACAGCTCAGCTGTCCAGCAGGACGTTAATTAGGAGCAAAATGTGTGGGAATGCAGCAAGGACCCATGATATAAACGGCTGCTTTTGGCAGGGCGCATTTTTGGGAATGCAGGAGGCTTCTCTCTCTTTGCCTCTCTCGCCTTCCCATGGAAAGAAGCCCTTCGTTAACTCTTTCATGTCTAGTGTCAGATAGCAGCCATGTGAATAGGATCCTAGTAGAGCAAAGGTCTTCTTTAGTGCCTTGCTTGGGTTTTGAGCATGGACATTCAGAAGGATGGTAAGGATCCAGCGCTAAAACATGCCAGAAACATTAGTGTTACACGTAAGAGGGGTGTTGAAAGAAACGTCCTTCTGGGTTCAGCTCCAAGTGGGGAAGAAGACACTGGAGACATGGAGGCTGCTTGGAAAGATGGTTTATTGGTGGACATGGCTTGAGTCCTGAACAGAAAAGGGGATCACATGCTTCAATGTTGGTGGAGAAGAAGAGAAGGGCTGAGGGAGGGGCTTGCTAGGCTTTTTATAACCTGTTCAGTCCT